CCTTCCTCCTCCTCCTCCTCCTCCTCCTCCTCCTCCTCCTCCTCCTCCTCCTCCTCCTCCTCCTCCTCCTCCTCTTACCTCCCTTCCTCGCGCGCCTGCCCGCACGCGCTCGCAGGCCTCGTGGCGGCAGTCGGCCGTGGGGGCGGGCGGGGGGGGCGGCGCGCGCCAGGGGCTGCGCGGCGGGGCGGCGCTCGTGCGGGGTCGCCGCGCGCGGCGCGGCCGCGCGGCGGCGCGGGGATGCCGCCCGCTCGGACCGCTTGCCGCCCTCCTCGGATGGGGCTCGATGTGTACGCCACGTCGCGTGGTCGGCCGTGGAGCCGTCCACTGTGGCGAAGCGGTTCGGTGCATGCGGTCGGGGGCTTTTGGTTGGCGTGTTGTCGCCCCCCGCCGGCTCTGGCCCAGGCGCGCCTCGGCGCGACACGCTGTCCACTGCGCGGTCGCCGGGCGTCCGCGTGCCGAGCTTCTTGCCAGCCCCCCATCCCGCGAAGCGGAGCGACACGTGATCTGCGCCCCGCCTGCGGCAGTGGGGGTGGGACGCCCCCGCCCTCCCCCCGCGGGAGTGGGCGGGAGCGGTCCTGGCCCAGGGTGCCCCCAGGGCCGCCGGGGAGGCCCCCCGCGGGCCACGAGCGGGGCGCCGAGACACTCAGCCGTCGGGGCTTGAGAAGGATCCTCTGGTGCAGTCTGCACCTGGGACCCCAGCGACGCCTCCACTATTCGGCCGCGACGCAGCCAGATGGAAAAGGGGCACGAGATCATGCTGGCGGGCCATGCACGGCCCTGGGCGCGGCCCAGAGGGGGCCTCTGTCAACACCGGGTCCTCGTCGCTTACCCTCTCTGGAGGCCCTTCCTCCCTCCCTGCGTCTACCCTTTCCCGGCGACGTCATCCTCCCTCCACCTTCCCCCCATTCCCTCTCCCTCTCCCGCTTCCGCTGCCTCTTTTCTTCCTTGTTCTCCTCTCACCCTGTGCCCCTCGCACCCCTCCGCTGCTACAACTGATCAGTGTGAGTGCTACTCTCCGCTCTCCCCCGAAGACGGTCTGAGAGTCGCACGCCTCCCTCTCCGCGTTGTGTTTTTTTGCGCGCATGTCGGGCCCGAGTTGCTTTATCCTATGAGTTTTTCTGTTCAAGCGTTCTCACTTAAGAAACGGGGCTCCCGCTGCAGCGTGGGCCTCCTTTCAGGATCTGGGCTGTGCTCCCATCGTTCAGACTGGCGCTCTCGCCCCAGCGCTGGCCATTCATTCCTGGATCCGAGTCCTCTCTCATCGTCGTCGCCTCCCTCCTTTCCCCTCCTCTGCCTTCCCCTGGACCTCCGGATCCTCTCGCTTCTTCCATTCCAGTTCCTGCTGATGCTGTTCGTCCTCGTCGTCCTCCTTCTCCTCTTTTCCTCCTGCTCATCCTCCTGCTCATCCGCCACCTCCTCCTTTGTGCGCGTCTCTCCTTTTCCGATTACGCACAATACGATATTTTCTCCGAACAGTGCTTGCACTTCGGGATGTTTGTTTCTTTTCTGAGGAACTTGGCCTTTGCGGCGGTCTGGCGGCTATGTGGCCGCCGTCGTCTCCCCGTCGCCGCCTCGTCGCTGCCTCGTCGCTGCCCGTTTTCTGGGCCTGCGCGGCTATCTGGCGGCTATGTGGCCGCCGTCGCCGCATCGTCGCCGCCCGTCGTCTGGGCCTGCGCGGCGGTCTGGCGGCCATGTGGCCGCCGTCGCCGCCCCATGGTCGCCTCGTCGCCGCCCGTCGTCTGGGCCTGCGCGGCGGTCTTTCGGCTATGTGGCCGCTGTCGCCTTCCCGTCGCCGCCTCGTTGCCGCCCGTCGTTTGGGCCTGCGCGGTGGTCTGTCTGCTATGTGGCCGCCGTCGCCGCCCCGTTGCCGCCTCGTCGCCGCCCGTCGGGCCTGTGCGTCGGGTCCGCCATCTTGCGGCCGCCGTCGCCGCCCCGTTGCCGCCTCGTCGCGCTGTTTTGCCTTGTTGAACACTGGCTTGCTTTACAAGGTTTGTTTTGCATGATTTTGCATTTGCATGGCTTTGCATTGCTTTGCATGGCTTTGCATTGCTTTGCATTGCATTGCATTGCTTTGCATTGCTTTGCATTGCTTTGCATTGCATTGCATTGCTTTGCATTGCTTTGCATTGCTTTGCATTGCTTTGCATTGCTTTGCATTGCTTTGCATTGCTTTGCATTGCTTTGCATTGCTTCGCATTGCTTTGCATTGTGTTGCATTGCTTTGCATTGCTTTTCATTGCTTTGCATTGATTTGCATTGCATTATTTTACATTGATGTGTACGGCTTTGCATTGGTTTGCATTGCTTTGCGCTGATTTGCATCGGTTTGCTTTGCTATGCCTTGCTTTGCTTTGCGTTGCATTGCTTTGCATTGCGTTGCATCGTTTCGCATTGCTTTGTGTTGCAAAGCGTTCCTTTGCATTGCTTTGCTTAGCACTGCGTTGCTTTACATTGCGTTGTGTTACATTGCATTGTATTGCGTTGCATTGCATTGTTTTGCATTTCTCTGCGTAGCTTTGCATTGCTTTGCGCCACCGCCCAGATTGCACCACATTGGTTGCATCACCTAGATAGCACCGCATACGTGACAAGATGTCACTGTTTTGGGTTCACGCCGGCTTTCTGTTTCTGAGTTTCAGGTCCGCTATGACACGCGTCCGCGGACATACAACAAGTCGGCGCAATGGGAACTGACGGGTTGAAGGGGTAGGATGTCGGACATGGCGACAGCGCGTCTAGCTTGCCCCCTCCCCCTGCAAACACGACGACCCCAAGACTTATCTCAGGGCGCGTTCTGACTAGAATTTCGGGGCGGATCAAGCCGTGGCCACGCGGGCGTCCCTGGAGGCCCAAGAGGGGCCCCAAAAGCGCAATCAAACATCGCTCCTCGCGCCTCGATCTTCGCGGTCGACGGCGGCTGCGACGACAACAGCGAAGACGACGACGACGGACGACGTCGACGACGACGATGACGACGACGACGACGCCGACGATGACGACGACGACGTCGACGACGACGACGATCACCACGACGACGTGTACGACGACGACGACGACCGCTGCGCGTGCCGCCAGCGTGCTGCCGCTCGACAGCGGCGGGCGTGGCTGGGTGGGCCCGCAGCGCGCCAGGAGGCGCAAGGCCGGGGACCAGGCCAGCGCCGCCGCGGGCGCAGGCTGATGCCGATCGGCGCCGCCGCCGCCGCCGCCGCCCTCGCCGCCGTCGTCGTCGTGGTCGTCGTCGCTGTCGTCGTCGTCGTCGTCGTCGTCGTCGTCGTTGTCGTTGTCGTCGTCGTGACTGTCGTCGTCGTCGTTGTCGTCGTCGCCCTTGTCGTCGACTTCGCCGGCGTCGTCGTCGTCGTCGCCGTCGCTGCCAGTGGTGCCACCGCCGCCGCCGCCTCCGCCGCCTTCGTCGTCGTCGTCGTCGTCGTCGTCTTCATCTTTGTCGTGATCGTCTTTGTCGTCTTTGTCTTTGCCTTCGTCTTTGTCGTCGTCGTCGTCGTCGTCGTCGTCGTGGACTTAGTCATGGCCGTGGCCGTGGTCGTAGCCGTGGTCGTGCTCGTGCTCGTGGTCGTGGTCGTGGGTGTCGTCGTCGTCGTCGTCGTCGTCGTCGTTGTCTTTGTTGTTATCGTCGTCGTTGGCGTCGTCGTCGTCGTGTTTGTCGTCGTCGTCGTCCTCGTCATGGTTGTCGTCGTCGTGGCTGTCGTCGTCGTCGTCGTCTTTGTCGTCGTCGTCGTCTTTTTCGTCGTGGTCGTCTTCGTCGTCGTCGTCGTTGTCGCTGTTGTCGTCGTCGTCGTCGTCGTCGTCGTCGCTGTTGTCGTCGTCGCGTCGTTGTCGTCGTTGACGTGGCCGTGGCCGTGGTCGTGATCGTGATCGTGGTCGTGATCGTGGGCGTGGGTCGTCCTTGTCGTCGTGGTCGTTGTCGTCGTCGTCATCGTCGTTGTCGTCGTCGTCGTCTTCGTCGTCGTCGTCGTGGTTGTGGTCATGGTTGTAAGCGTCGTGGGCGTCTTTGCCGTCGTTGTCGCCTTTGTCGTCTTTGTCGACTGTGTCGTCTTCGTGTTTGTCGTCGTCGTCGTGTTTGTCGTCGTCGTCGTCCTCGTCGTGGTTGTCGTCGTCGTCGTCGTCGTCGTCGTTTTGGTCGTCGTTATTGTTGTCGTCGTCGTGGCTGTCGTCGTCGTTGTCGTCGCTGGTGTCGTCTTGTCTGTCGTCGTCGGCGTTGTCGTCGTCGCTGTTGTCATCGTCGTCGTCGTCGTCGTCGATGACGTGGCCGTGGCAGTGGTCGCGGTCGTAGTCGTGGTCGTGGTCGTCGTTCTTGTCGTCTTCGTCTTTATCGTCTTTCTCGTCTTTGTCGTCTTTGTGGTCTTGGTCGTCTTTGTCGTCTTTGTCGTTGCTTTTGTCTTCGTCGTCGCTGTTGTCGTCGTCGTCGTCGTGGTCGTCGTGGACGTGGTCGTGGCCGTAGTCGTGGCCGTGGTCGTCGTCGTCGTCGTCGTCGTCGTCGTCCTGGCAGTCGTCGTCGTCGTCGTCGTCGCTGTCGTCGTCGTCTTCGACGTGGTCGTTGTCGGCGTCGTCATTATCGTCATCGTCGTCGTTTTCGGTGTCGTTGTCGTCGTCGTTGACGTCGTCGTCGTCTTTCTCGTCGTTGTCGTCGTCGTCGTCAGCGTCGTTTTCGTCGTCGTCTTCGTGATCGTCGTCGTCGGCGTCGTCGTCGTGTCGTGGACGTGTCCGTGGCCGTGGCCGTGGTTGCGGTCGTGGTCGTTGTCGCGGTGGTGGTGGTGGTGGTGGTCGTCGTCGTCGTCGTCGTTCGTCGCCGTCGTCGTCGTCGTCCTCGGCGTCGTTGTCGTCGTCGTCGTCGTCGTCGTCGTCGTCGTCGTCCTTGTCATCGTGGTCGTCGTCGTCGTCGCCGTTATCCTTGCCGTCTTCGTCGTCGTCGTTGTCGTCGTCGTGGCTGTCGCCGTGGCTGTCGTCGTCGTCGTCGTCGTCGTCGTTGTCGTCGTCGTGGTCTCAAAGCGGGGCGCCTTCCTCTGGAGGCTTCTTGGCGCGGTGCGCGATCTTCAACCTCGTGCCGCTGGCGTACATCGTTCTGGTCACCGGCAGGCGGCGCGCTCTTCGGGCCGTCGGGCGGCGAGCTGCTCTTGCCCCTCGCCGTGAAGCAGGCGGGGTCCTGAGGGACCTGAGGGAAGCAGGCCCTGAGGTTTTGCTCGCCGTTTCAGCCTCCAGGGGCCTTCCCAGGGCCGTCAAAAGCGACGCAGGATGAAGAGCTGGTCCTGAGGGAAGGCCCTCTGGGGTTCAAGACCCGTCTCCCTCATGACCCGCCTGCTTCATGTCAACGTTCCTATTCCTCAGCTTCGTCGTCGTCGTCGTTGCGTCGTCGTCGTCGTCGTCGTCGTCGTCGTCGTCGTCGTCGTCGTCGCCGTCGTCGTCGTCATCATCATCATCATCATCGTCGTTTTTTTTCCGTTGGGCCGACATTGTCTCGATGGCCGTTGCGTCTGACGTCATCGTCGTCCTCCTCCTCCTTCCCGTCCTGCTCGTCCTGATCGTTGTCGCTCTCTTCGAGCGGGCGGGCCTTCCGAAAAGGGGGTAGGGGGGAGTCGGGGGGTAAGAGCGCAGTGGAGCCCAGGGGAGGGGCGGGAACGGCCGTCCAGTTTTTTCTTCAATGAAGCAATCTTCGTGGCCATGCTTGGTTGATAAATCCTCTGGTGGCCTCTATCCGGATCACAACGAAACCAGCTGAGCAGGGTGAATCATCGAGGGAGAGCCAGCCGAAAATAATGGCCGTCCAGGGGAGCCATCGAGAGGAGAGGAGGGGGGGGAAGGCCATCCGAGTGTTCCTGGGAGGGGGAGGGTGGGGTCAGGGCCGTTGCAGGGAAGCCAGCCAGTGGAGAGGAGGGGGGGGAGGGGTAAGGGCCGCCCGCGAGAGCCAGGGAGTGCGGCAGGGGGGGAAGGCCTTCCAAGGGAGCCAGGGCTAGGGGAGCGGAGGGGAAGGCCTCGGGACGGGCGTTCCATGCGAGACAGGGGGAGGGGAGCAGGGGGACGGGCCCTCCACGCTCGGGCGCTCCGAGGGGGGCAGGGATAGCAGGTCATTCTGGGGGGGGGTGGGGGGGGAGGCGAGGGCGGCAGGTGAGCCACGGGCGTAAGGGGAGGGAGGTGGCAGAGGAGGGGAGGAACGAGGAGGAGAGAGGGAGGAGGAGGGAGGAGGAGGAGGAGAGGAGGAGGATGAGGAGGAGGAGGAGAGGAGGAGGAGGACGAGGACGAGGAGGAGGAGGACGAGGAGGAGGAGGCGGACGAGGAGGAGGAGGAAGGAGGAGGAGGAGGAGGAGGAGGAGGAGGAGGAGGAGGACGATGAGGAGGAGGAGGAGGAGGACGAGGAGGAGGAGGCGGAGGAGGAGGAGGCGGAGGAGGAGGAGGAGGATAGGGGAAGGAGGGGGAGGGATTGGGGGAGGAGAAGGCGAGGTCTTCCTGGGCGCGCCGCCGTCCCGAGTCGCTGGCGGGTGCGCGAGTTTGGCCGTGCTCCTCGTGCTCTGTGTTAAGTCGAGCCCTTCGTTCTACAGGGGGAATATTCAAAAATAGTCAAAACATAGTCTGGGGACATTTTTTTTTTGTTCTCTCTCTCTCTCTCTCTCTCTCTCTCTTTTTTTGCATACATAGTATTTTTGGGCATATTTTGTTTTTTGTGAGTATTTTTTCTTTTTCGTCCAAGACCCCCCTGCAGGGGGACAGGCCCGACCTAAGCTGTGTGGTTTGGGCTTGGGGAGCTGCTGGTTTCTGAGGGGGCGGCGCGTGAGGACACCCGCACCCCGCGCAGCGCGGGGCGCAGGTTCAGAAGCCCCGCGATGCCCGTCGAGACTGCTGCATACGACACCGGCCGCGTGGTGGGCCCGTGCACGTGCGTGCCTGGGGTTTCACAGCTTTGCTCGGCGGAGCGCCGATGGGGGAAGGCGGAGGGGGCAGCCCTCCTCAGAAGTCTTGGAAGGCCTCTGGGCTCCGTAGAAGCTTCCCGAGCTTCTCCGAAGCCACGGAGGGCTTCTCAAAAGGCTGCCCCCCTCGGCGCGCCGCCGATTTGAGCGCGACGTATTTTATCGGCCCCCGTTGTCCATACCGAGCAGCGTAGAACTGCCGAGTCGACCCCGCCCAGGGCGCGTTTCGGCTTGGCTCGGCATGGAAGGCGGGGGGGGCAACTTCGACAGGGGAGCTCCAATATTTTTCTTGGAGGTTGCTTTTGTCGAGGGTCGTAGGAGCCCAGGCCCCAGACGTCCTGATCTTCTCGCGTGGTGGGCCCCCGGAGCTCTCGAGCCCCCCCCCTCCTCCTCCTCCTCCTCCTCCTCCTCCTCCTCCTCTTCCTCCTCCTCCTCCTCCTCCTCCTCCTCCTCCTCCTCCTCCTCCTCCTCCTCCCCGAGCACCGTGCTTCGTCCCAGGTCGTGCCCTGGCGGCCCCAGGGCTCGAGCGGGGTCCCCTCGCAGCCACCAGGGTGGCGAGAAGAGGCTCGGACGGAGAGCGGCGCTGCGAGGTCGGAGGCCTCGGGACCCGAGGCGGGGGTTTGGCCATCACTCAGGGGAACAAGAAGTGGCATAAACATGAAAGCTCGGAGGTCCGCGCGGGTTTCTCGGATCGGCGCTGGGGCTCCCCTGGCGGCGACTCCGGCGCCGCCCCTGGCGCGCTGCGCGCGCCAGGGAGGGGGGTCCAGCGCCGATCCGAGGAATCCGCGCGGACCTCCGAGTTTTCATGTTTATGCCACTTTTTGTTCCCCTATCACTGCCGCCCAAAGGGTCGAGCTCGGGGGGCCTCGGCAGGCGGTGGGCATGGACGTAATCGGGCCCCGGGGTGGCCAGGTGAGGCACTGCAGGAAGGGCCTCGCCTTCGAGGATCGAGGGAGCTGCCCTATCTTCCTCGGCGGCAGGCGGCGGAAGCGCGACGGAAGCCAGTCGAAGCAACACGAGGCGGCCTCCGCTGGCGGAAGGCTGGCGGAAGGCCAGCGGAAGGCGGGCGGGAGTGAAAGCTGCGCCCCCAGGTGAGGACAACAATTTCGGGTGCACTGTCTTCGGAACCCGCCGAGTATGTCCACATCCCCCGCCTGTCGAGGTCCCCGAAGCTCGCTCCCCCAGGCGGTGGTGCTGGAGAGATGCCCGGCTCGCACACGAGCCCGAGCTGCTGCCAGCCAGCCAGGCACTGCCTCGGCCGGCCGGTGCGGCGGCGCGCGCAGGGTGCACGCGAACGCCGCCGCTGGCATCCACGGGGACGAGGTGGCCACCTCGGTGCTGCCCCGCCTGGCGCTGCTGGCGTCCATATCGCCCGCGCCTCGGCGAGGGCGTGGGGTGGAAGAGGAGGAGCATCGGGTCAGAGGAGGGAAAGGTACCGATACCGCCGCCCTGGCCTCATTTTGACCTTTTCGGGCCTCCTGGGGGGCCCTCGTCGCCACCGCTGGATTCGCCTCGAAATCCTGGTCAGAACGCACCCGGGGAGAGGTCTGGGGGTCTGTCGAGGACACCAGGTGACTCGGTCTGCTGAGTTCTGCCAGGGGGGATGAGGGGCGCAAGGGCGGCCCTGAGCCCAGGGGTGCCGAAGTGGAGGAGCATCAGCAGGGAGCTCAGCCTCAGCCGGGGACAGAGTGGCGCCCGCTGAGGGTCGGAGGATCGCGCCGCACCGCCGCCGCGGCGCGACGCGGCGCCGGGGGGCTCTCTCTGTCCCGACTCCGCCGGGGCGCACCGGTGGATGCGGTGCGGCCCCTCTCTCCTCGTCAGCTCTGGCCCTGCCTGGGCGGCCGCCGCACCCGAACGACAGGGGGAGCAGGAGCGACGCGCTCGCCTCGGCCTCCTGGGGCCGCCTCTTCGGGCTCCAGGACCGTCGAAGACGGATCCGGGGTGAGCGTTGGTGGCGCGCAGAGGGGGGTAGGGGGAGGGGGGAAGGCTTCTTAGAAGCACCCCTGCTTCTTAGAAGGTGCGGGCCTTCTCTGTAGATGCGAGGCAGGCGCCTTCTAAGAAGCAGCCTCCCTCTAAGAAGCCTTCCCCCTCCCCCTACCCCCTTCTGCTCGCCGCCAAGAGAGACTGCACTGGACGGATTCCCGGAGGGGTCCAGGGGTCGACTCTGACCGGATGCGGCCTCGTCCCCTCCTCCAGACCGGTGCTCTCGGGGCCCGTCCAGTCTCAGACCGCCTGGCCGCTGCCAGCTCTCCCCCCCTCTTGTTCTAGGCCTCCTAGATTGACAAACCAACAACGCACACCCATACCCATAGGGGTGTCGGAGAGGGCTATGGGTGCGTGTTGTCGGATGGAGGTCCTCGCTCGAACGGGAGCGTTCCCTAGGGTCCGACAACCCGCACCCGTACCCATAGCCAGTCCTCCTCCCAACGACCCCCTTATGGGTATGGGTGTGTGTTGTTCGTTCGTCCTAGGTGGGGTCGGAGTAGATCGGGTCGGAGGATCGCGCTGCATCGCCGATGCATCGGCGATGCGGCTCGATGTGGGGCCCGCATTTCTCCACGCCGATGGCGCGGATGTATCGCCGACGTCGCCAGTGCACCGCTGGTGCATCGCCGATACATCGCCGATGCATTGCCGATGTGTCGGCGATGCGGCGCGATCCTCCGATCCCATCTGCTCCGACCCCATCTGGGAGGCCTCTACTTTTGCTCAGGCAGGCGCGCCCCGCCCTTCCCCCTGGCCCCCTCTGCGCGCGCAAGGCCCTTCGGCCCTCTTTGGTTCCACAGGGGTGTGCCCCGTTGGGAGACAACCGTTTGAATATCCTGAAGCGTCCCAAAGCACCATTCTCTGGACTTCAACGCCTCGGATCAACCTGACTGTTGCTTCTTGACGTAACTCTTGCGCCCTGACAATCCTGAATCGTTCCACAGCACCACTTCTGGTACGTCAACTATGGGCATCCGTGAAACGCTTGCAAACGATTAGGACAAGTGTGCGCGGCGCTAAGGCGAAAGCTACATTCTGAAAAGGGGCCGCCCTTCAGTCCGCAAAACTCCTGCAATGTTTTAAAACGAATGTGCGCGGCGCTGCGGCGAGAGCCACATCTTGAAAACCACCCGCTCTCAATCTGTGCAACCCTTACGGTTTTTAAAAGGGAATGTGCGCGGCGCTGAGGCGAGAGCGACATTTTGGAAGCGACCCGCCCTCCATGGGTGGAACTGCTGCCGACATTCGATCCTCAGGACCATAAGCAGTGAGGGAAGTCTCGGGCGAAGCGCCCAGCCCACTCTTCCGACCGGTCTTGGGGTGCGACAGGGAGTATTTTTCTGTAAGGAAAAGGAGTGGAGGAGGATGAGGAGAAGGAGGGGAAGGAGGCTGGAGGAGGGGCAGAAAGAGAGAGAGAGAGAGAGAGAGGAGGATGGGGTCTTGGGGATGGGCATGTGCACTGTCCGACCGTGCGCCCCACCCTCCTCCCTCCTCCGCCCTCCCTCCCTCCTTCCTCTCCTGTCCTCGCCGCGCTCCGTGGAAAGGCCGGTCCCCGGCACGGGGTCCCGACCTCCAGGAGGGAGCCGCGTGGCGACAGAGGGCGCGGCTTCGGCTGCCGCCGGGCTGCCCCGCCTCCTCGCGCCGGGCCGTAGGTGCGCCTACGCCGCCCTGGACCTCTGCGTCGCGCGGGGCCCGAGCTGGAGGGGCCTTCGGGGAGCGGGGGGGGGGGCCTCCCCCCGAGATGATCGGCGGGTTTGCCAGGGTGCCTACAAGTCGATGCGATCGATCCGATTCGATGTCGAGTCCGGCCAGCCCGATCCGATTCGATTCCGAGACTCCGGCGATCCGACGCGGCCCGATGCTTGCATGGCGCTGCTGTGCGCCCTGGCGCAGCCGATCCGACTCGATTCCGACTCCGTGGTGCCGATGCAGCCCGATCCGATGCACATGTCGATTCGATCCGATTCGCCGATTCGATGCTGACTGGTCTTGGCTTGGCGGGCGAGGCGGCGTTTTTTGCTGGGCGGGGCGGTGCTCGGTGCGCGGAGCGGTGCTTGGCCACGGCAGGGCCCCAGCCTCCCTCAACAAACGTGCGATCCTTTCCAGGGCACCGTGCCGTCGACGCAGGCCACCAAACCACAAAGCCAGCCCCCCCCACCGCGTCACCGCCGAGGCGAAGAAGGTCGATGATCGAGGTTTCTGAAGGCTCGCGGGCTGGCCCAAGCGGGTTCGATCTGAGCTTGCGCTGCGAGGAGGAGGAGGAGGAGGAGGAGGAGGAGGAGGAGGAGGAGGAGGAGGAGGAGGAGGAGGAGGAGGAGGAGGAGGAGGAGGAGGAGGAGCGGCGATGAAAGGGAGGGAGGTGGAAATACGGCGGTGGATGTGTGGGGCCTCCAGAGGTCTCTGGAAAATTCTGCGGAAGCCTCTGGGCACATCCGGGGACCGCCAGAGGCCCCCTAGAGGTTTGGAGGCGGAGGCCTCCAGAGGGGGAGGGCTCTCGCGGGGAGCTGGAGGCCTTTCGGGAAGCGGAGTCCTGGACGCTTCTGGACGTTCCTGGCCCCTGGCCGGTCCTGCGGATACATTATCGGACGAGGGGGATCGCGGATCGAGGTTTTTGAACGTTGTCGAGCCTGGTCAGCAGGCGCCCCAGAAGAGGCCTCCAGAGGTATAGAGATCTCCGCAGACCTCTGAAGATGTCCCCGCCGATCGATGATTTTGTTCTCAGCTCTCTTGTGTTGGGTCTCCTTCCTCGCCCTCCTGTCTCTGCGGCCGCCCCTCTGCTTTTCCCCTCCTCTTGCATGCGGGCCTATTCTTAAGTCGGGCCTGTCCCCCTACAGGGGGAATGTTCAAAGTTCGGGTCGGGCCTGTCCCTCCTCGAGTCCCCCTCAAGTCTGGACTACTTTTTGGGCATTTTTTATGTTTCGTCGAAACTCCCCCTGCAGGGGGACAGGCCCGACTTAAAGCCTATTCGCTTCACCGCAGCCTGGGCTGCCCGGGCGCGCGGTGCGGACCGCCTCCTGCCGCGCTGCGGCGCGAAAAGTGGTGGCTCGTCGCCTTCTCCTCCCCCTCTCCCCCTCGTCCCCCTCCTCCTCCTCCTCCTCCTCCTCCTCTCTCCTCCTCCTCTCCTCCTCCTCCTCCTCCCTCCTCCTCCTCTCCCTCCTCCTCCTCCTCCTCTCCTCCTCCTCCTCCTCCTCCTCCTGCTCCTCCTCCTCCTCCTCCTCCTCCTCCTCGAAGAGCACCGCGGGCCTCCGTCCCTCTCCTGCGCCCTCCTCTCGCCGCCCCTCTCGTGCCCCGCCTCCTGCCTCGCCTCCCCGGGTGCTGCCAGCGGCCCGACCATCGCCATGTAAGCTCCTTGGAGATCCAGCGGCGACACGTCTTGATAGACACAATTAATCCTCGATTCCCCAGAAAACATGAGAAAATATGGGACGTGGGGGGGAAGACAGAGACCCAGAAAATATAGGAGAATATGGGGAATCTTTTTATTTGTGTGTATTTATTTGTGTGTCCTGGGGCCCCTTCATTGAAGACATCCAGACCAGACCTCGCCTCCCTGGGGGCCGACAACTGCGCCACCGTCACTGCTTTCGGGAGCTCCTGGGAGGTCCAGCGAGGCATCCGAACCGGATCTCCCCTCCCTGGGTGTTGCTAATTGCGCGACTGCAACCGCTTTCGGGAGCTCCTGTGAGGTCCAGCGAGAGATGTCTTACGCGGACCCAATCTGGACCTCCCCTCCTTGAGCTCTACCAGTTGTGCAACTGTCCTCATGTTTGCGAACTCCTCGGAGGTCCAGCGGAGCGAAGTCTTACCCTTGCCCGAACTAGTCGTCTGGGTTTCCAGGTGGTCCAGCGGGTTGACGTTTTGCGCGCCCCAGACTAGACCTCCCCTTCCCTCCAATGGTAGCTTTTTCCTCTCTTCCACAGTTTCCTTGGTTCTCGCTGGTACCACAGTTCGAATGCACTTGATGGTCACCGGTGGATGGTTACCGACCAGTTCCACAGTTCTCGCTCGGATGGTCGCCGACTCCACGACTTCGTGACTGTTCTAGGCATGAAGATCGAGGTTCTGCCGCCCTACAAGACCACGAAGTACCTTGGACGACAACTCCAGTACAGCACGACCTACGCAACCGAAGTCGAACATCGCATCGCCACAGCATGGCGGAAGTTCCATGCACTCAAGCAGGAAATAACTGGACCGACATTTTGATAATCATATCGACTCTGCCTCTGCAGCCGCACCATCACGCCCACTATTTTCTACGCGGTTGCGAAGCATGGACGCTCACGGCCGACTTGGGAAATCGACTCCTGGCGAACGCAACGACAGATGCTTCGCATGATTGTACGAGTGCCACGGTGTCCCTCAACAGCCACATGCCCAACAACGGAAGCACAAGCAAACCACGCCAGCGCACACAATCAGCACGACGACAGCCATCACGACGACGACGACGACGGATGTGACGTAGATAGTGTGCCCTCGGATCCTACACCAACTTGCAACAGACGGCTTGGAACCTCGGGTAGTCTGGATCCAGTCCGATCTGTTTTCTTCCAGTCCGCGGTGCCAGAGTTGTCGACCGCTTCCCTGGGGGTGTTTTTTTGTCCCGGATCCGTTTTCGATGATCTTGGGGCCCGATATAGCGGGCCCCAGGAGCCGAGATCGAAAAACAATGGCCAGCTGGGAAAAAGCAGATCGTCGCAAATCAGTGGTTAATGGCGATTCCTAGTGTTGATGGATCTTGATAGTTATGATGATGCTAATGATGACGATGCTGCAAATAATGATGATGATGAGATGATGAGGATGATGAGGATGATGACGATGATTACGACGACGATGATGACGATGATGATGCTGCTGATGATGATGATGATGCTTACGACGTCGACGACGGCGACGACGACGAGGATGATGTTGATGACAACGATAATGGTGATGACAATGATGATTCTGATTACGAAGATGACGATGACGATGACAATGACGATGATGATGATGATGATGATGATGATGCTGATGATGGTGGTGGTGATGATGATGATAATTCTGATTTTGATGATGATGATCGTGATGGTGATGGTGATGGTGATGGTGATGGTGATGGTGATGATGATGATGATGATGATGATGATGATGATGATGATGATGATGATGATGATGATGATGATGATGATGATGATGATGATGATGATGATGATGGTTTCCAGTGGCCATGATGTTTTTCGTGCCATAACTCGGCTCTCCAGTGGCCGTTCGGGAATATCCGGACACCCCAGGGACGTTCTCGTCGAGGCGCACTTGCTGTAGAGCACCCCAAAGCTGGGAAACCGCCTGGAACAGCGAGAACTTCCACCGAAAACCTTGAACCCGAAAACCTTGAACCTCGAACCGTCGAGATATCGACGATGATATTTTCTGACGGCCACACTGAGAAAGATTTGGACGCTTAGCTGCCCCGAAACGCCCGTTTTGAAACGCAACACGTATTGGGTTCAAAACGTCTGTGTCATCACATTGCGTGTTGGCTCAACGTGTTGGCCCACGTTTTGGCGAATGCATCGTACCAGACCTACGTCTTCAGTCTACGTGTCGAGCTCCGTCTGAAGACGCCGTGACTGCGTGTCTCGTACCGATGCGGCTAAGGTCTTGCCCAGGGCCTCCTGCCAACCCCTCCACTCGTTCCGGCCACAAGCGGAAATCCGACCTGGTGCGACGAGGCCGTCGCTTGCCCAGACGGGGGCCTTCTTTGCCCTCGCGAGACAGCTAATGGCGGGGCGGCCCTCGGCCGCGGGCAGGTTCCTGGGCCTGCAGGTCCTGCTGCAGCTGCTGGTGCTGCTCCTGTGCATCGGGCAGGACGCCGTGGCGGCGCCGCCTCCGCAGGCGCCCTCGCCCCCCTGTCTAGCACCACCGGCGCACACGGAGTCCTACCACAAGGATCCTCCCTCTTTCCTCCTCCACGTCTCACACACACATACTTCTATGGTTTCGCAGCACGCACGCATGTTTCCCACACGCGACAGTACATATAGAGGCCATGGCCTCGCGCGCCTAGCCGCCCTAGACCCAGAGGATGCTCTGCATTGGTGGCTCGCTCGCTCGCGCCCTCGCCCCCTCTCGAGGAGGAGGGCGGCCCTTCTCGTGGGCTCGTCGAGATTTCCGGACGCTCTCGTCGGCTGTTGGCGGTCTTCGGACGTTTCCGTCGGTTTCTGGAGGTTTCCGTCGGCTCTTGACGGTTTTCGGACGTTGTCGTCGGTTCCTCGACATTCTCGTCGCTTTTCTTACGTCTTCGTCGGCTCCTGGAGGTTTTTTCCCCACATGTTTCGTGGGGTTCTGATTTTCTTCCTTGCCGCGCCGCACCCGCGTCTCCCCCCTCCCCCCTCCCCTTCTCCTTCTCGCACCAGAGCGGCACGGCACAGCTGAGCACAGCTCAGCTCAGCTCAACTCAGCACAGCACAGCACAGCACGGCACAGCACAGCTCACCGCACAGCAGCACAGCACAGCACAGCACAACGACACAGGGGGTGCGCTGGGGGTGGGGGGGCCCTATGCGTTGTAGGCTCCCAGGGCGTGGCAGGCGAAGCATTTCCAGGGCGCCGCAGGGGGTGCGCTGGGGGTGGGGGGGCCCTATGCGTTGCAGGCTCCCAGGGCGTGGCAGGCGTGGCATTCCTCGACGCCACAGAGGGTGCGCCAGGGGTGAGGGCCCTTTGAGGAGGAGGACGGGGAGGTGGGGCAGCAGCAGCGGCAGCAGCAGCAGCAGCAGCAGCAGCTGCAGCAGCAGACGCAGCAGCAGCAGCAGAAGCAGCAGCAGGAGGAGGAGGACACTGAGGAGGAGAAGGAGGAGCAGCAGCAGAAACACCGATGGTACACATGGGAAACAAAATAGGTATGTGGGGTTCCTCGGTAGCGTAATTAGATGTTTTCGTTGGTTCCTGTAGGTTTTCCCGTCTCGGGGTGCGTTTCAGCAGCTGTGCCTTGCCGAGAGGCGTCCGGGGGGTAACCAGATCGTCCCGAACGGCCGCCGGAGAGCCGAGTCATGGCCCGAAAGCCAGACGACGAGGAGGAGGCGGAGGAGGAGGAGGAGGAGGAGGAGGAGGAGGAGGAGGAGGAGGAGGAGAGGAGGAGGAGGAGGAGGAGGAGGAGGAGGAAGAGGAGGAGGAGGGGGCATATGGGTAGCCTCTGGGGTCACTCTACGGGGCCTCCTGGGAGCTTCCAGGGAGCCTCTTGGAGGCATGTTAGGGGGCCTCCTTGGGCCTCTTGGGGGCCTTCGTGGGTTTCTCGTGGGCCTTTTTGGCAGTCTTCGGGGGGAGGCGTGGGGGAGGGCGGTCCTCCCCGCTGGCCCCGCCGAGGGCCCTCGCGCCCCTCCGTGAGGCGTGGCCCGACGGGCCCTCGCCCCAGTCTGGAGCCCTCGAGCCGCTCCGTGCGCCGCGGCCCGTCCGGTCTTCCTCCCTCCCTCCCTCCCGCCCTCCCTCCCGTGCTCCTCTCCTTCCCCCCCTCCCTCCCGCCTTCGCCCCCTCCCTCCCTCCCTTCCTCCCCCGTTCCTTCCTTCCCCCCCCCTCCCTCTCTCCCTCCCTCTTTTCCCTCCCTCCGTCCCTCTCCGTAGCAATTTTGGCTCAGGTCCGTAGCGGCAGGCTCTGGATGTGAGTTTTGGCGAGGGGGCAGACGGCCCAACCTCCTTCGCCAGGGGTCCCTGGCACACATCTTACTTCAGGCTGATGTTCTGGGGATGCACCCCGTTGCCACGCACCTCGCAGGCTTGCGCGAATGGGCAAGGATGCCAAAGGCCATATCGCTCGCAGCGCGTGCAGGTACATATGGAAGTTCTCAAGTCGGACCTTCTGCTTCAGCTGCAGGGCCACCCTCGTGCCGCAGGGGATGCCGTGGCGTCATACGCAGGGAGGCTGGGCTCTGCGCGAGTACGCACCTCATCGTGAAGGAGGTTCCCAGCCACCCACGTGGCCCATAGGCAAGTGGCAGTGGGGGGCTCCTCCGCCTGCGGTGTCTCCGCCACGAGGCCTCACCGCCTCAGCGGAGAGAAAAGGGCCAGAACGGAGGAGTTTCGACGGAGGACCTCTTGGGACAGCTTCGACAGCGGCTCGGTCCCGAAGGTGCAGGTTCAGAGCGGCTCAAGATGCTCGAGGGGATGCTTCGGCCCAAAGCTTCTGCAGCGGTGGGCCCACCCCGGAAACAACTCCTTGAGACGACCATCTCAGCCAAAGGGGAGGCCAATGCGGACAGGCTCACCTTTAGGCGATGGTTGGCCGCGAAACAGAAGCGGAGGCATTGCACAAGGAGTGTAAGGAGGCCACGGCAATCGGCCTGACTCAAGACTATGATTTTGAGGTGGTGTGGCAGCAAGAGTTTGCCCTCGAGCTGCAGCGTGCCAAAGGGTCGGCCGCTGGCATTAACAGTGATTCGGCGGCATCCAGGGCGGAGCGGGCGGCGAGGTTTGATATCAATCTGTCTGATCCTATTGACGGAGACGGGGCTGACGGCGTGGATATCACCGACGGCGAGGATTTCGACGTCGACTCATTCGAGGTTGGCCAGGCCGAGAAGAATAATTGGCTCGCCCTCGAAGCTATCATGCCAACAGGGTCAATGATCTGCAAGCTGAGGTGTTAGCGGCGATCGTCCCAGTGCGGAAAGTATTCAGGAACTGCGAAAGGAGGCAGCTGAACTCCGCCAGCGGATCGCGGCCATGCGCCGCAGGAGGGATGACGTAGCGGCAGCGGCAGCGGCTCCCTCCCCATGGCAGCCGGCTGGCTTAGAGGCACCAGCGGCGGCGGCAGCCTCACCAGCGGCGGCTCCTACACCAATGTCTGGCACAGCTACTCCTATTCAGGATGGCGTCGACATGCCAGTGGACCAGCCCAGAGATTTGATGTGAATGGGAACAGTCTTGGCAGCAGCAGAGTCAGCCGTCGGAGCCGAGCAGGATCGTCTTCAGCCGTCCGCGTTGGCCATTGATCGAATGCCTCATTCAATCGCAGCAACTTGGTTAGCGCGTCCAGTCAGTCTAGCGCGGCCAGTCATTTTTCCAAGTTCCTTGCTCGCTGGATAACGGCCCTGCGGCCTCCCCCACTGCTGACGCCTGCCTGCGGGATCCCGGCGCCCGTCCAGAGCCCCGCTTCCTTGGGCGGGCACGCGGGCCCAGGGCCTGCACTGAGGATCTCGGGGGTCGGTCGGCGACTCGAGCAGTTGGAAGGAGGTGGCGCCCGCGCGAGGGGGGGTCGGCCACGTCATTTACCTACGGTACTTCGGTGGCGCCGCCCTGGACCGCTTCGGGCGTTCGAGCGCAAGTCCTCGGGGCTCTTGCTTCGCGGGGGCCCCAGAGCTCAGCTCTGCTTCGTGTTTGCCAAGCGTTGGAACGCAGGCCTCGAGTGGGGTTGCTGCGGCAAGGCCGCTTGGGCTCGGTGTCGAACGCGCGTTGCCGGGCGTTAGATCGCAAGTCCTGGGTTCGCCTGCTTCGGCTAGCCTTCCTGGGCTCATTCGCCCCCGACATGCCGAGGTGCAAGTCCACGGCGGTATTTTCTGAGTGGGCCAAAGACAGCCGCCTCAGGGAGTTCGCGGAGGCTCTCGTTCAGAGCGCAGGCGCGACCGCTTGGGCCTCGGCGGGCCTGGGGTGCTCGCGCGCAGGGCTGGTTGAAATGTCCATAGTGGCGCTGCGAGAACGGGCGACGGTGCCGCTTCGACCTCGGGGATGGGGGGGGCAGCTATGACAAAGACAGCGCGGGCTTCCGCTGACTATGAGCGCCGCCTGACCAGTCGCAGGATGGTCGCGCAGAGGGTGCAGCTTGCGGGCGCCCTTGATGTCGCGCTGGTCCCGGTCTACGGCCGCGCCAAGATCGGTCTCGCAGGTAGGGGCTTCAGGCTTTTGGAGCACGTCAGCGAGCTAGCCACGAGCGCAAACATCCTTCTCATCGGCGGCGACTGGAACGTCGAGGCGTCCATCCCGCGCGGCCCAGGGGTCGACCGCCCGCGAGGGTCGATTCCCAGACCTGATCATGCCGCGTGCAACGGTCACTGCAATGGTGTTTCGTCCTAGTGAGTGCCTCGACTTTCATGTTGGCAGCGCGACCCCGTGGCTCGACGCGCCTGTCGGCCCTCGTGCCCTCGCTGTGGTCATAGGTCTTGCAGAGGTCCGGAAAGGGGCTGCCTCCTCCAAGTCCCCTCCTCGTTTTGAATGAGGACATCCCTCCCCTGGGGGGCCAGTGAAGCTGCCCGTGGTATTCGAGCCTTTTGTCTGGAGAGACAGCCTTAGCGTGGCTCGCAGCGGCGGAAAAGGTTCTTTTCCGCCGAAGCGACTTGCCGCTCTCGGGTGACAGTGCATGGCTCGGGCGCTCGGGAAGTGGCAGGCTTCGACTGGCTGCCCTCGAAGCTGCCCGGGGCTTGGATTTGTGGGGGCGTTCTAATGCCGCCACTCTTGGGTGGCTTTCAGTCAGGCGCGTCGCTATGTAAGGGCCTTCAGCCCATCCGGCCGCCGTGCCTGAGTTGTGGGTGTGGCGCATATGGGGTGTTCGCTAGGATCTCGTGGGAGGCCTCTCGGGGGCCTCGGAGGCAGTTTTGGGGCTTCTCAAATGTTGATTTGGAGCCTCCTGGGACCGCTTTTGGGCCCCTGGGGGGTCCCCTGGGGGTGTCTTGGGGGCCTCTTGGGCGCCTCTTGGGGCCTCTAGGTCGCCTCTTAGGGGCCTCCTGGGGGTCCCTTGGGGCGGACACTTGCAATTTCGGGTTCGTGTTCCTTTTCTTGGGCCAGTTTTAGGCCCGTCTTGGGACCCTCTAGGAAAGTCTTGGGCACCTCCTGGGCCTAGGCCGTGCTGGGGCCCTCTTGGAGCCTTCTTGGGGCGTCATGGGGTGGCCTTGGGGGCCTCGTGGGCCGTCC